ATTGGTATTAAATGCGCTTGGATTTCTTCTTACGCCAAAATTACGTGAACTAAGTAAATTAAATCGCTGAAATTTTTACCGACAACGCTGCAATTTCATTTAGAAATATTTCTATGTATGATTTGCATTTACTGTTCTGAAACTGAACTGAAAACGTATCCAGTAACCTCATGAGTCAACTGAAATCTTTATCCATAACTTATCATATCACTGCGGTAAATTTCAGTAATGTGCGTCATACTGATAATGCGATTAATTAAAAAGTACTTAATGAATAGAAATTAGTCAGTTCTATCAGATAACAAATTCTAATAAAGTTATTTTAGGGTTGAAAAGTATTTTGTCCCGAAACCATTTTCAACCAAACTCTAATCTACATCAGATTTCTCAGCTAGTTAAACAATTATACTTCAGAATGCTACCTGTATTCTCCATTAAACAAAGGAAAATAACTGAAAATGATTACTTAACTGCATAAATATATAAAATATTCATATTATTATTAACACTATTAACTCTTTGATTACTTGCATCATTGTGGCAACAGAATTACCATTGCTAATATCGATGTCATTGTTTAGTGAATATTTACAAAAACTATTCAAAATGGAAATACTTTCAAATAATCTCAAATAAAACTGTTAGTTTGTTTTTTGACGGTAAAAATTTCATTACTGAACAGAATGATGGCGATGTCAATGAAGATCACTGCGAAAGATCATACAGAAATTGTATAATTTCAAAGAGTCATGAATCACTGGAAAGCTGAAAAACTAAGAATTGTATGAAAATCGAAAGGTGACATCATAAAATATGGAAATACAGTGATCAGTTAATTGTATTAATATTAATATGACCCAATTGTTTGAGATAAAATTTGGCAGTGTACGTGAGATATGCTTAAATGAACAAATTAATTATAACACAGATTTCATCTTCAACTTTTAAAATATTGAGTAATTTTGTCAAAATAAGTATTTTTGAATAAATTAATTAGGTAAAATCAATGCAAAAATTTAAAAATTTGCTATAATTTAAGCATAAATATTATGAAAAAAAATAAGTTTATACTTTCGATAATAACTATTCGAAATAAATGATTGAAAATATGTCAGAAAGTATTAATTTTGCATCGAAAACACTCCGTCAAAAATTAGTAATTTTATAAATATGCAAAATAATTTTTGTTATTTATTAATTTTTAAATTTGTTGTTAATATATCCACAAGTATTGAATTTTAGATTAAAAATGTAAAGCAAATGTGCGCTGAGAAAAGAAATTAGTCAAGGCTGAGAAGTTGGAAATGTTTGACTGACATTCAGCCATATTACCAATAAAAGTTGCAATGTATTTTTGCAAAAAAAAGCAAAACAAATTATGCAAAATATGCAAACAAAAATGATGAAAAAAGCACTGCGATCAATGGAATTAAAATACATTCAAGTTTTTAGTAATGTATTTATGAATATTTTAAACTTGCTCTGACCTTTTTATTTTAGTATCAGTAAAACAAATTTGAATACTTTGCATAATTACACAATGCTTGTTTTTGAATAAAATTTTTGTTATTCATACAAAATTATTTGCCAAAAATCAGCACAACTAGGATAGCAAAGTCTTGAAAGCAATTTAAGATCAGTTAAAATTTTATTTGTATTTTAAATTGCATTTTAGTAAACTTTGCAATGTTCTGAAAAATCATAACTTATATCAGCTTTATTAGAGTCTTGAGTGCTGTAATAACTTGGAATCGAGCAATAAGTTTGAGAGCATGTGCAAAAAATAAGCCTTAAGGTTCAATACTTGATAGTGTCGGCGCAGACAGCTTAAAAGAAGCGTAAAAAAACGTGGAAGAATAAAGAGACATATCAGAAGTGAGTGATTCAGCATTCTTTAGTTTGGGTAAATATTGGGTTCAGTTATATTATTGCTTTTTCAGTCTTGAAATCAATCAATATCGATAATGATATTCAGAAGAGTTTAAAAAATTTGAATACTTCAAGACATAATCATAATTTTGAAAACATCAAGCAAATATTTGTTTTATCTTATTAGTAAATTTTCAAATAGTTTTTCTTTAACTTAAATGATGAAAAAAATTTGCGATGCATCGAATCATTCATAGCAGTCATTGAGCTCTTTGCAAATTTATTTGAATAATTCAAAGTTGTTTAATTTAACAATTTATGTGACCAAAATATTTACTTAAATCCTTTTGTTTGCTAATTTTTTAATTACTTTTAAGCTTTTCATTTAGTTTAACAATTTACTGCGTGCTGACTGCTTATGCTAAGATTATTTTCACTCTAAACTTCTGTGATTTTTTGTCTGCAACAAAGTATCAATAATTTATGAATTTGAGATTGCGAGATAAAATGAAATAAGTTACGATTTAATCAAAAATATCAACACATTTTTTGTAGACTTATATTAAAAAACTAAATAAGATATTAATTTGGTACTACAAAAATATTTCGTGATGTAAAATTTATGCAAAATTTTGAGATTTTCAAAATATTTGTACAAAAGTTTTTTGATGATATTGTTCAGCTAAAGTTATGTTTTAGATTAATTTCATGCAATTTTTAAAAAAAATGTAGTTTTTCTTAATTAATAATTTAAATAGAAATATTACTGTATGTTGCATGATTTATACGCATAGATTAACTTTGAATCAACAAATGAATACAGAAAGAAAAGAGGAAAGTTCGCAACAAAGTGGATTATAGTTGTCACCCTTTACAGTTGTCACCTATTATCCATATTGCATTAACATTGATTGCAATTTTACACATTTCGATAATATCATTCCACTCTGACATCAGAATTTGGCACTGTTTATAATATGTGAAGTAGCATTTAACTTTTAATAACTATTTAAAATTTCAACCTACAAACTGCCTAATAATACTTTTCAACTAAGCCAAAAAATACTCTCACAAATAAAATTTTAGTCTCAAAAAAGACCGAAAAGAATCGAATTTATGCTAATTAACCTTTGATGTCACGTAAGACAATAAATGGTTTGCTGAAAAATTTTGCAAAAAATCAAGCATATGTCAGCAAAAATTCAAATTTTCGTAAAACAATTTGGTGATGTGCTGATTTATTTTTGTTTTATGAATTTCCAATATGCTTGCAACTTTTTAAAATATTATTTATGCAAATATTATTTCGCTTCAAAAAAGCAACATACTTCATATGCATACATAATTTACATCACATGTTGCACAATGATAATAGTAGTATCAATGTAGTCATCATTATCACTGCTAATAATTGTAAATTCATATCAACAACATACAGTAGTTTATTTTGGAAAATAAAACTATTTTAAAAATAAATTGCCCTGATTTTTTCGAAATTTTATTTGCTCAACAATTTAACTATGCTCAAGTATTAGATAGGTACTAAAGTTAACAATTTTTTACTTTTTACGAAATATTTCGCATCTAAATTTTGTAAGAGTTCAAAGTTCAGATTCAAAAATAAATGAAGGAGTAAAATGGATGAATGAATATGCAAACTACTGTAATAAAATATCTTTCAAAGTGATGGAATAAAGTAACTGAGCAAAAATTCGACACAATAAATATTAGAGAGAAACATTTACACACAAAATTGAAGCAAAAAACAATACCCATGAAACAGTGATTTCCATCCTTAAAGTCGAATATTTATTTCGTGATAAATTAATTAAGTAAGTTTTGTTTCAGTTATTTGCAGTAACGAACTTTGCTTACTTTGATATTCTAAATTTGTTTACGCTCTAATAACTTGCGCAATGAAAGTATTAGAAGACTGTTTACTAGCAGAAAGTATTCTTATTTTGTTAAAAATATCCAACAACTAACAAAATTAATCGCTCATATCAAATATTGAAAAATGTTGCCTTAAACTTTGAAAAATTTGAATTTGACAGAAGCAACAGAAAAACTTTACACCGGTGTTATCAAAAATCAAAAATAGCATTCAACTCCAAGACTTACTCAAAGATTAATATTCATAATTGCTCAAGAAGTAATCAGAAATTAAATGCTTATGATTCTTTGAAAACATATACATTCACTCATTCACATAATTGCATGCAAGCATCATTTCTCAGTAATTTGTCTGAATTTTTTCTTCAAAACTTGCAAATGCTAATTACAAAGTGAAGAATTGTAATTATTACTAAAAGCATTCAAAGATTTGAAAAAATAATTCTAAAACTAAAAGTTTATCAAAAAGTTTTTAAACTTTCTGTTGAATATTTCGTTGCATATTCTAGTCACAAGTTTCAAGATGCTTCAGCATGCAAAAAAGTTTAAAAGTTTAACAGATTAAATTATTTGGGAAATTAAAAAGGTGAAAAAATTAATGAAACGTTCAAAAATAACTTTTTCATCTCATCTCATCTGATTATATAAACATAGCAGAAAATAATTTAACACAAAAAAATTTTCACACATTAATATTCGTCCCAAAAATTTTTGCATCAGACATTAATAATGTTATCATAAATCGCCTTTTTGATCTAAAAATTCTCATCCCGAAAAATGCAATGGAAAATTTCAGTGGAAAAAATTATTCTGCGTTAATATTTGTTAACAGTTGAAATAAAAACCAAACATATACTGTGATCAAAAGATAAGTTAATTAAAATAAAACTTAATTAGGAAAACTTTGTCTTTTTTGATTGAACTTTTGTATTCATTCCCGTTAAATAAATATGAATTTATTTTTATTTATATCGCGTAGACTTTTTTAAAGATAAGCTAGAAATTTACAAGGAATCATGCGTTTTGCAATATGACACCGTAAACGATAAGGAATCAAAAATGATAAGTGATGAATGAACTATGTGTAAACAAATGAATCAGGAGGATAATTATTAGGATTTAGTAATAATTCCTGACCATATTGAGGCGTCATACGTTTTTCTTTTTGGCGTCGATTGCAAAACCAAACACGAACTACTTCTTTCTCAAGTTGAAGCTCCAAAGCGACTTGAGCGATTTCTTGAGCGTTTGGCTTTGGATTTTTCTGGAAATGATACTCTAAACGACTTTTCACTTGAACTTCAATTGATGTACGCTTTTTACGCTTTCGTCCACCTTGTCCAGTCATTTTTTCAAAAGCGCTATTAGGTGATGAATTGGTAGAATCAGCTTCTTCAAGCCATTTGTAAAGTAATGGTTTTAATTTGCACATATTTTTGAAGCTTAATTGTAAAGCTTCAAATCTGCATATAGTTGTTTGACTGAAAACGTTACCATAAAGAGTGCCAAGAGCTAAGCCAACATCGGCTTGAGTATAACCTAATTTGATTCTACGTTGCTTAAATGTTTTAGCAAATGCTTCTAAATCTTCTGAACACGTAGAATCCATTTCTTCAGGAATATGAGATGAAGATAAAGGTAATTCATCTTGACCAAAAGCATATGGCCAAGAAGATGGTGCAGCAGTTGACAGACGCTGAATTACATCTGGACGCTCGGGTTCTTGTTTTAATTCCATTATGTTTCCATTTGACAAATGTGAAGGTAAACCTTGTGGAATGGACATGAGTGATAATTGATGCTGTTGCTGTTGCTGTTGCTGTTGCTGATGATCGTGTTGCTGATGTTGTTGTTGGTGATGATGATGTTGATGTAGCAATTGCTGTTGGATGTGATGTTGATTATGTTCATGATAACTAGCCCAGTCTGGTTGTGGTGGAGGAAAGAGCAATTGAAATGGTGAAGCTGTCGCAGAATGAGGCTGATACGGATGTAACATTGGTTGTGGCATTGCTAATGATGATGGCTGTGGAAGTTGTTGTGATGGCCATCGTTCATTTAATTCTTGAAATGCTTCACAAGTAGGCTTGATTACATGAGTATAATTTCCAGTAGCAATTGTAACGCTATCATTATTGGTGCTACGATTGGTACCAATGTTATTATTTGATCCTAGATTTGTGTGATTTTGACTTGAAACTGGTAGAATAACTGCTGATGATTGTTGCTCATCGTTTGGTTGCTGAGGTGCGGAAAAAGCTGATGATGACAACATTTAGCATATTAATATGCAGAAATTTTAATAGTTTGAACAGTAGAGAGAATACAGTCAGTAGTAATGATTATTGAAATTAATGGTATATAATAAGATGAATTGCTAATTTTTATTTGTTGCAATAATTATTAGCAATTTAATAAACAAATTGATTAAAGTATATTACCGTTTTAATGGCAATATTATAGGCAAAGAAAATTTTTGAATGCAATAAAAGTAAAAAATGGCTGCAGCAATTGAATAACTTATTTGGGTAGATGAAATAATATGCAAATAAAGTAATGATGAGGGTAATAGTGATGATGATGACAAAAATGATGGCTATGAAAATAATGGTAATATGAAGCGCAGTACTTGCCTTGCCTTTAATGGTCTTTGCCTCCCAGTTATTTATTCCTTTTCTTTATTGAAGCTCGAAATTAGCATATACACCCACAAAAAATCACGTGAAACTATGCTATTGCTTGCAGAATTCAACAGAATAAAATTATATTGTGACTGATGAACTTTTTTACTATTGTCTAATTCGGCTTTCAGTAGCAGAAATATTCCAAATTATGCTCTACTTTATACAGTAAGCTGGCGCTGTGTGCTGTGGTGGCAATGCTAATTATATTAGCGGTAGTGATGATAATTATAGTGATAAAAATATCATTAATGATGTCAGTAATAACATTAATGATAAAAATAATAATGATGACAATAATGATGTATCAGACAAGTCGAATTCATGAGAACAAATAGAACCAAACACATACACACACATACACACCAGCCCCTTCAGTGGTGTGGTTTTTCAAGAGAAAGAGAGCAAAAAGTAGGGATAAGATTTTTTATCTGTTGAGAGACATAATTGTCAAAAAAGACAGTGAGATAGAGAAATAAACAAATGCAAAGTCATGTGCAATATTTTTACCGCCTCTTGTTTTTATTGGTGGAAAGGGGAGGGATGAAGGAGGAGATTGAAACAGTAACAGATTGTTGATTGGTTAATGCTACATGAAGTTTAGGAAGGGATCGGTAGCTCCACAAGAGAGCACATGAACTTGCCACGCCTTCTTTCAATTATTGGAGTCATTTGAAAAGTATTAGATGCAGAGAAGAAATAAAGTGACAAAAAAGCTAGAAAAAAGTGACTTCAGCAGACACAAAGTACTCAGGACGCTTGGCTGTTGACAGCAGCAGTGAGAAGTTCTGACTGTGAAACATCGATGAAGCACTAGCATTCGAAAGCATTTGCATAGACTACAAATAAGCAGGTAACGTGTGGCAGTGATCTTCGAAAACCATAGCTCATCGCGAATGAACTGACTCAAGTCAGCGGCACAGATCGATAAATACTTAGCGTTCGTCACCGAACTGTACTCATTGTTGTCAATTATTGATTCGATATGAATAACACTGTTGAAGAGTGGATTTCGCAACTTTTATTTGTGAAGTTGTGCATGCATTTGAAAAATTAAGTGCCAATTATTATTCACATCAAATCAATAATTTATAACAATGAATAATTATTCATCACTATTATTATTTTTATCATTACTATTATGTTAAAAGCAATCCTAATTTTTTTCTTTTTACTGCTCAGAAATTTAAACCAACGCTAATTTGTGAATAAAACTGAGCTTCTTTCATGCTCCTCATCATGCTTGGAAAAGTTATTGACCGCTTTTTTTAAACTTTGAAGAAATTTCGAGCATTTTCTCCACAAAAAGTCGAAAATTATTATTCTTATCCATGATTCATAATGTTAGCTGCTCTGTTGACTAATTTACCAAAGCACTGATCTATTGAATTATGATATTTGTAATACATCTTAGAAATGAACTAAAAATAGATGTCCTGTAAATGATGCTAAAAGCAGTACAGTAACTGAACTGTCACAGAGCATTAACTTAAAGTTAAAAATTGAGTACTGTTTTAATTTAATACCGGCATTTTAGTTAAATGATGAAAAGACTTTATAAAGTGCTTATTGTGACTAGATTTCGCAACTTTTATTCGTGAGATTTTGTATATATTTGAAAAATTAAATGACAACATATTTTAACAAATATTACATAAGTGATGGGACGTGCGAAGAGAGGAGATGAAGCAATATTGCCCTCATAACTTTACCCACCTTCTGCTTTTCTTTTTACTGTTTACCTCTGTAATTTATGCAAATTTATTCCTTTATACACATATGTGTATTTTTTCTTTTTCCATTATTCGTTACTAATCAGCATTTTATGCAGTTCAAACTGTTTTCAAAAAGTAACTCCAGTTCTCGCCAGAGAATTGAAAACGCTAAGCTAGCAGAACTGTAAACAGTTCAAGTGCTGGCTTCAGTATTTCGATTCAAAACTGAAGGACAGTGTGTAATGGAGAAATATTAGTTGCATCTCCTTGTATAGTCTAGTGAACATTTTTGCATTGTCACCTAATATGGTATGGTATGATATGAGTGAATTTTAAAAAAGTGATTCTATATCCTTCAGCTTTTCAAAACGATGAAAAAGTAAAGAAAATTGTTAAATAAATAGTATTTGTAGAAATATCATGCGAAAAATTAACGTATCATAGTGCGTTTTTGATAATCCGTACTTGAGAATCCACGTTTTTCTACTACAAGAAGTCAAATGCCAAAGAAATTTAAATAAACTTTTTTTTTTCAAACCTTATATTGTAATATAGATAGCAACACCAAATTTTTTCAAATAGGCAAGCAGTCAATTTAAATGACTTCAAATTTGCCCTAAAGAGCTTTCAAAAATTATTTTTATGAATATTAACTATTGTGATTACTAAAAACAAATTTTTGAAGTAAGTGATAATTAAGTAATTGATCACTATGAAAGGTTAGATAAGTCACGATGCAAAGCACTAATTATTTCAATTTCGCTCACTCGACACAAATTACAGTGAGTATATGACTTGACAAAAGTATAAAAAACGATGCATTAATAGTGCTTACTTTACTTAGTCTGTTGTTGCAAATAAAAATGAGTGTGAGTCATTAATTAAGTGGCAAAAAGGTTGACAAAAGTAATAACAGAAAAAAATGCAGTTTCACATTAAATTATCACATATCAATTACAGTAACCTCTAAGTTTACTCTGTCAACTTGGCTAAGGCAATACGTTATATGCAAATTACAGCAAAGTAAAAATATTGAAATGAAAAAAGTCAAATACTTACAATGAAGTAATTTGAGTTTTCATTTCTTAAGTACTAATAGATCAGTTATGAACTGCTAAGAAAAACCAACCGATCGAACATTTTTGCTCTGCAACGAATAGGCTAGCATTTTTTTCAGGTACTAAATTCTAAATTTGGGCATTCTTCTATATCCTTCAATGTAATCTGAAAGTTATATGAATTCGTACTATATAGAAAAATCTTTAATGTCATATTCTGAATGATCTAAAATATACAAAAATAGAGTTGTAATGAATTTCTCTTATCAACGCCTTTGTTTCAGCAATAAATTTCAGCGAATATTGTAACACTGAAAATTATTAAGTGCTTAATTTAAATAATTAGTTGCATATCACAAATAGTCAATTATTCTCACAGTAAAAAATATCTGCAAGCCTTTTGCTAGTTACTGTCAAAATATGCAAAGCAAATATACTCTGAAAAGATTCCTAATCAGTGATTATTTCTTGTCCGATATTTTTCAAGAAAGGTTTGAAATCCCAAAAAGTTTTTGACAAAAATATTTTAGCAACTGCAATTGAAATTTTTTAAATGATGTATTTTATTCTTACAAACTCAAATAGAATTGAAATCTTTGTACTCTTTACCTAGCTGATTAATTAATTATATATGAGAAAGCACAGCAATAGTTTGATAGTATTGTTTTAATTTTGAAAGGAATTAATTATCAGCATTGCATGCAGTATCTCACTAGACCAATCATTTACAGAAACTGTCAATAGCAAAATTTCAATAATTTTGGTACTTTTCATCAAAATGATCAGAATGAGAACTGAATCAGACTATGGCTTTTTGCTGATCAGAAGTTCCAAATTATTAGCAAGAAAAAGTGTACATTATGACATGATGTGGCAACTACGCAAGAAGATACGACAGTACTTGCAGTAATCATCATAAACCAAAATATTACTAAATGCTATAATATTTATAATAGTACTGCAATTCCACAATGAATGTGAAAAAAATATCAAAACTTGCATACTTAAAATAGTTATCATATAAGACAATTAATCAGTAATGGTAATGGTAATTGTACAATCTCTTTTATATCTTTCATCAATTATTAGCCTTATATGAATTCTTACAAAGATATGAGTAAAGAAACTTCAAAAAATAGTGCTGAAGAAGCGCTGTGAAGTAATGGGTGAGCAGGGGAAAGGGTTGCTAGAAAATTAGATGCCTTAATGGGATGCCATCGTGGAAGAGCTTTTTGAATAATCACGTCTGAAACGGATTGATGTGCCAAATAACTTTCCGATGGGAACAACGCACACTTTGCTTTTTATCAGTATCACAGCCTATTTTTGTCTTTATTTCGTGGTAATCACAACAACTTTTAAAAAAGTATTCTTTTTTTGTTCCTTTCATCGCAGACATATTTTCATTTCATAGATGCATTTTTTGTAATTTAGAATAAGATTGATGTAAAACATATTTAAATTATTCGTTTTCAGCCATAAGACAAAAATTAAAGGTAGTGAAGCATCGTAATCATAATTTACAGTACCTTTTATCACGCTATCATGATTTTAATCTACTCTTATACATTCCCACTAATCAATTTATTGAAAAAATGTAAATTTCCGAAATTTTTAATTTAAATATCAAATGAAATGGAAGTGAGAAAACGATGATTTTGATTTGGACACGATTAGAAGTAAAAGTTGATTACAAAAATTCTTTAGATTAAAATATTTTTTGAAATTTTTCAGTTGATCAATTTCGGCTTATTATGGTTTACAATGCATATTGAATTATGCCTTATTGACTTTTATGGAGTGAAATATGAGTTAAAAAAC